GGGGTACTTTCTTATTTACATTGTAAACTTAAGTAAATGGAGTAATATAAAAATAAATAAAAGTAAAATGACAACAAATATAAATGGTAATGTGAATAATGGCATGGCTGGAATTCTAGATGCAACCAATGATCGTAAAGTAATAGTAACCTGATTTAGGATTGGTATTAAGGTGGTGTGTGATAGAATGTATTAGGGTGTATCATGGGTATTTTTGGTAGTTAAATAAGGTGTACTTAGTTAATTTTACATTTTAATTAAAATATTAGGGTGTACTTAGATCATAAGGTATTATCAGTTAATTTTAGGATTCATTTAATAACACTTTTTTTAATTACATTTTTTTTAATGTACGTAACAAATGAATGTTGTCAATGAATAAGCAGCTATTATGCAAGTGTTTAAAGAGCATAGACAGAAACAGAAAGACTCGGAACAAATTTCACGCACAAACAGTCATGTGGTTTTGACTACATTCAATGTGGCTGCTGGCCACACAATTCTCCCCGCCATTTCCTCAGCCAAAATTCCGGGCCTCCTTCAGAAAAATCTTTTCCGTTTCTCAGCTCTGGTTGCTTTCGAGCCCTCTGCCACGTTCATCTTCAACCTCCATCGCACCCACGCTAACTTGCAATAGTTTTTTCCTTCTTTCACTTCTCAAGATTCAATTTTTTCCTTTCGGCCAAAAAAAAAAAAGATTCAATTTTTTCTTTCCAGCATACCCATTTGCTTCATTCTTTCTTCTTGGTCCGTAAAAACCCAGAACTTTTAGTATACTGCACAATACCATTGGCATTTTCGATAACCCATTACTCAATTTTGTGTTCCTGGTCCATGTGGGTTCACAATTTGTCACAACATTGCATGATATGGTTGATATAAATGAAGCATTAGAGAGTGTTGCAGGCAATTATGATCAATGCCTCCATGGTCAATTTTCCATGGACCACCTGCAAATTTGAATGCGATTAAAAAGAATATTCATTGAGTGTGTTATTAGAAAGTTGGATTCTTGGATGGTTTTGCTACAATGTGTGATGTGGGGAGCTCCAACTGCTAGAAATGAGAGGATTGAGGATTAATGCCTGTTGGGTTCCCCATGCTTTTCTGTTTCTTATAATTTTTTTAAGCTTATTGCCTCGCACTCGGTGTGTGAATGGAGATGATTACAGTAGGACCAAAAACCCAGCTGTGCTTCCTATGGTTACACAGCTAATCTATAGCCGGCTTACAAATATCACTAAAACTTTAAGCACTGACCTTAAAGCTGATATGGGTTTCTGCATAAAGAATGTGTGAGTAAAACCCAATTGCCCTTAGTTTGTTTCTTTGCTACAATTCCTGTTTTCAACCTAAGATGTTCTTTTTCTTGGCTTTTCAGACATGATGATTGGAATGGAGCATTCAATTTTACGGGAAAGCTGGGATTCTTGACTGATTGTATAAAGCAGACAAGTGGTACAAGCTTTAGTCAATTCCCTATTTTATTTATTTATTTGTTTTGGTGTGTTTTCATTGCTAGGCTTTCCCCCCTTAATTGTAAGTGCATGTGTGTTCTAGGCTGGTAACATAAAGCCAATGCCATAATAGAGAAAGGGGCTCTTAGTTCTGTTGGTGTGATGTCCATGCTTTGTTTTGTACTACCCTGATTCGTTCTAATGATGTGATGGCATGCTACATTCTTGTTATCTTTTCTCCTGGAGAACTTGTCTTTAAATGTATTCATATAGCTTATACATCTGTAAAGTTCCTAACGAAAGATGTAATTCAATCACCAGGAGATGTCACTAATAGACTATGTACAGCAGCAGAAATAAGGTCCTATTTCAAGAGTTTCACCGCGGGTGGGATAAAACGTTCAAACTACTTAAAACTAAACAAGAATTGCAATTTGACCTCATGGGTTTCCGGATGTGAGCCTGGTTGGGGCTGTAGTCTCGGCCAAAACCAGAAGGTTGACCTCAAAGCTTCAAGCATACCATCTAGAACTCGGGATTGTCAGCCTTGTTGTGCAGGGTTC